GCTCCTTCGACAGACTCAGATGGACTAGATATTTAGGTAATTGATGTGGCTATTACACTTTTTGAAAATCTTCAACGTACCCTGAAGGCTCAAGCTGAAAATCGAAACGACGATTCTGATTCCGGTAGGAGTGGAATTTTTGATACGTCTTGAGGTGATAGTGCTTTTGCTCTGAATGTCTGCATTTTGGATTCGGAACAAGAAAGCGATGATGACACGGACACCTCGAAGAAGAAGAAGAACGCCAATCGCCGAAAACTTCCAGAGCATTTATCTGATGATGACGATGAAATCGACGAGGTCGCTTTATGTAGTTTTCTTCCACAATCTCTTCGCCTTTACTATTTATTTTTATTTTGCCCACTACATTAGTAATATTGATAGTCGTAACCTTGCCAGTTACTCTAGTAGCTCAATTCCATGGATTTAGCTGACCTTCGACTACATCGATGCTATGTCGAAGGATATCAAGGCAATCAGTGGAGGTAACATTGAGGATGGAGGTAGCGACGACAGCGATGATGGATCATCGTTCTGCGAGGTTTGTGCTTACTTGTAGGAAACTGGTAGGTTTAATACAATCTCTTTCAGGAAACAGATACTGAGCAATTCAAAACGTCCTTCGACGAAGAAAATGCTCCAGATGTGTTCGTATACTTCAAAAACACCATGGAAAGTGAGTCCAAAAGCGATTCTTGTGGTTCTAAAGTCCATGTCGGAAGTGAAAAGGGGCGTACCGACGATGACTGCGTACGCCCAGGCCGAATCTCCTCTTTTACATGTTCTTCTCTCCCTTTTTCGTCTGGACTCTCGTAGCCATCGCCACGTTCGCAGCCGTGCCCAGAAGACGGACAAGACAATCGTAATTTGCCGCGCGGCGCCGTGCTGCGATGCGCGGGAAATTCTTGACGTGCAACATTTTGTCCATTGGAAAAGCTAAACTGATATGAATTCAAGTGCAGACAAGGCTCCATGGTGTGTGTGATACAAATCTCCCGTCCCCTCTAACACGCACCGTCAAGCGGCCAGACAGGACAACTCGTCTGCCGGAGGGGGGCGTCGCTCGCCGCGCCCACCAGCGCAGTATCTTACGACTGTCTTGCTATTCACTTGAATATGGGCTGTACCCTCATTCCAGTTTCTCTTTATCGGCGTCAATCAGTAATTTGCAGAGTTCGAGCAGACTGAGCCGGAAATCTTCCAAACCATGGTTCAGAACTTGACTGCTCAACAACAGACTTCTCTTAAAGAACTTATTACGGTACGTTTACTGTTCTGTTACTGTTACAGTCTCCATCTTTCCCAAGCTGCACCCTCAGTGCCAGTGCCTATCCGGTCTTCCAGCCCAGTGTCCTGGTCTGGTTCAATTAGCGACAGAGCGGAACCTGAAAGCTATATGATTAATTTTTTTTCGCGTTCACACGTTATAGATGGTCGGGTGTAGGATCGCAATGATTGCCGTTTTTTATAACTTTCATTGGAATTTGTGATCTTCAAACCAGTAAGGGCTAACAGTCGGCACATATTCAGTGGAAATTTTACATTGAAGAACAAAATTTACATGGACAAATTGAAAAAAGAAATTCAAAAAAAAATCGGCACTATTCAACTATTACTACCCCAGTTTTGCGAAAACAGGCCGGATCTTGATCGACTTTTTTCTACGGGGGCAGATTTGGCTGAAAGTTGGGTTCTAGGGGTAATTCGACCTCCTGAACACGAATATCACATCCACTTGGCCTGAAAGTGCCTGGCGCCCGCGCCACAGGCGCCAGTGATTTAGGGCATTTTGGCGCCGGCGCCTGTGGCGCGGGCGCCGAGCGGTTTCAGGCCGAGCGGATGTGATATTCGTGTTCAGGAGGTCGAACTACCCCTGGGCACAAGTTTTCAGCGGATTTGGTGATCTAGGGTACTTTGGCGCCGGCGCCTGTGGCGCGGGCGCCAGGCAGTTTCGGGAGGAGCGGATGTGATATTCGTGTTCAGGAGGTCGAATTACCCCTAGAACCCAACTTTCAGCCAAATCTGCCCCCGTAGAAAAAAGTCGATCAAGATCCGGCCCGTTTTCGGAAAATTGGGGTAGTAATAGTTGAACACTGCCAAAAAAATCAAGTGTTGAACGTGCAACTCTTGGCCCACTCCCAGCTCTTTTTACGATATCTTACATTCACAACAACAACGCCCAGGTTAGATGAAAAGAGAACTGAAAGCGAGAATTTTTTCAGATTTGTGAACAACATGTGAAATCAGAGGAGTCGAAACAGGTGGAACAAGCTGGTGGATATGACTTCAAGGCTGCCGCAGCAGTGCCGGCGGAGTTTAATTTCGCAAAGTGATCGTTTATATCGTTCATATGTATTATTATATTAATATTGAAATCTAGAATTCAAGTTATTTCATGTGATTCTTGTTTTGCCTTGTTTTTTTCATTTGTTGTAGTATATTATAATAATAATGATGAACTATTTTTGGTGATAGAAAAACGGCTTAGCTTCTTTTTGTTTGGTATATAGTGTGGACGATATTATAGCGATTACTTTTCATATGAGATTGATGCTTGTTGTGATGATGTTGGATTATTTGCTATTGTTTTGTTCGTGATCGAACATCGAATCAGTTGACCCAGATTCTTTTAATTTACTTCAGTTATTGCCGCCATTGTTTGGCTTGTTTTTTTATAGTTACTGTGTTATTTTACTGGTTCTGATTGCCATCAGACGTTGTTCTAGGTTATCGTTTTTTGCTGAGCTCGTATCATTGGGTTGAATTTGTTAATGTGCGCTTCAGTAGCACGAACGATATGTGTTGTGATATGTGTGACCCGGATAATCGTTTGTATGGTGATGAGTGAGCGTGCGCTATATTGCGTTCATTACTTGTTGATGATGGAAATGTGTTGTTGAAAGCTCTGTCAAAATAAATATTATGAGTTATACTGTCCTAATCATTGCAGATATTCGGTTAGCGATGATACGGGTCAACAGATTCCGGCGCTGTTTGTCGACGGGGGGCATTTTGTATTATCATTGCTTCCCTAGTTCCGGTTTACAAATCTCACTCTGGTAAAACTTGTGAACTCTTGTGAAGCTGAAGTAAGATCGTCTAGCCACTATCCTAAAACGTGTCAACTCGAGAAACGGCTGCCTAGATGGGTCGACACATCTATGGAAAGCAAAATGCCCCCCCCCCCCGTCGACAAACTGCGCGACACATATAAATCTTGAAGACATTTAAGTTTTTGGGCGTCCTTTCTTGTACAGTAGCCCGGTTCGCAGTGTTGAGGACAGTCACACTTCCGCGGCTTCATAAGCAACGAAGGCGCTGCTGGTGGCACGTAAGTAGCAGTTCCGACGCCTCCATGGTTGTCCCGCCCACCAAAACTCCTGGGCGGCGCAGTTTGCCACCGCGGGGGCATTCTGCACTTTCGTTGCTTTACTAGTTCTAGCTCACAAGTCTCACTCTGGTGAAGGTGGAGCAAGCTCGTCAAGCACATCATGATAGAACCTGCCAACTTGAGAAAAGGCTTTAGATGGGTCGACATGTCGATGGGAATCGTTAAAGACAATTCCCGCGATCAAGTGTTCGGGTAATTGGTGCTCAGTCGCGAAGCAGTGGCCCATTTGTAACCCCCCCCCAGTGGAAAAAAAATCGAAAAAAAAACCTCGCGAACACCCTGAACACAGACCTCCCTTTAGCAGTGGGGGCGGGGCCTGGACGAGTGTGCCGGACGTGGCCAGAAATCGATGCGGCAGCCGCAATTGCGTCCCGACTTTCGAAATAGGATACTTTAAAGGGACGGAAGCAGCTCGGGACCGGACGCCTCGTCCACCTACCGTGTCAGCGAGCCTAGCGAGCCTTGTGGAAATCGCTATAACTTCCTTATCGCGCCATATTGAGGGATGAAAGTGGTATCATCTTCGTCAAGGCGTAGAGGGTTCCAAAAAGCACGAAGTCATTTTGAGGACCACTTGATCGCGGGGAGTGTCTTCAAAGTGCAAGATGCCCCCGCTGCCAATCAGCGCTCTACTGAGTTGTTCTCTGTCATGAACTCTGTTTTGCCCCGTGATTTTTCTCCAGAAAGGTTGCTGAGCTACAGTCGCGGAAAAAAACTTGGAATATCCCATGTCGCGCGAATTTTAACAGCTTTACCTAGAAATTTCAAACTATATGAACTATTTACTCAAATCAAGTACTCTTAATAAAGCCTCTCAAAAGAAGAGAGTAGGTTGATTGTATTCGTTGCAGAGACAGAATTTTGAAGGTTATGAGGCACTTTGAGGAAGGGGGAGGGGACCTGAGGATGGGGTCAGGGCTGCTGATGTGGGAGTAGACTTTTTAATCTTCTTAGGCGAGTCTGTTACTAATTAGTTTTCCCCGCAGGCACGAAAAACTCGGGGGTTGAGGTGGGAGCCGATCACGACTTTGAAACCCAGACCACGCTTGTGGTACATGCGCCTCTTGCCACTACACTATTTCCGCTTAACCAAAATTTTAATATTATTGTATTATAACATTATATTCTTAGCTTCTGACCCTAATACTGGTGTATCAGAAGAGATAAGATATCTTGAAACAGACGGATATACCTTCTTAAAGCTTGTTCAATTTTTTTATTCGGCGACTGTAGGTCTTCTCTCTCTGCTGGCATAAAACGAGCAGTTTTTGAGAACTCGTGCGGTGAGACTACCAGAGGTCCTCAAGGTGTTCTCCCGTCAATTTATTATGCTTTTTTTTCCTTTCAAGGGAATCCACTTCGTGATCAAGATCTGTACCCTAAAGTCCGGTAGATAAGTCCGCCCGCCATTAGATATGTCCGCGCGACATCGCGATCGCCGCGCATGCGAACACTAGTTGGGACGAAGCAGGTTGAAACCAGTGACCATATTGAGAAAATTGATTTGGAAAACAAATTTTCTAGAAGATGTAATCATAAAAGGAAACAGTAAAGGGTGGATGGTTGAGGATATGGTGGGACTTTATAGCAAACAACAACAGCGAATAAGTCCTCTATTCTATTAGAAGTTCTCGGCGCTGTTTGTCGACGGGGGGGGCATTTTGTACTACCATTGCTTCCCTAGTTCCGGTTTACAAATCTCACCCTGGTAAAACTTGTGAACCCTTGTGAAGCTGGTGCAAGATCGTCTAGCCACCATCCTAAAACGTGTCAACTCGAGAAAAGGCTACCTAGATGGGTCGGCACATCTATGGAAAGCAGAATGCCCCCATCGACACACTGCGCCAAAGTTCTCTTGATCCATCTTTAGAAAAAAAAATGAGGACTACAAAATTCTATTGGAAAAAGGGTTTGTGAGTGTATCCGAAAGAGAGGTTCAGAGTTTCTTAAGTTTCATCCTCTTAGTAGGTAAAACTTCACTGAGATAATTCGAGCTCAATTTCTATCTCATCTCCGCCCTTGAGGTCAGCAAAATCGGTACCATTTCTCGAGTTGTTGTGAACTTTCCTCAAGAGAGTTCTCCATTACTGGTGCTAGTTCCAAACATCTGCTATCTGATCGCATGCCAGTCCTCAATCATCCGTCCTCTACTGTTTCTTCTGATGGTGACATCTCATAGAGGTGTCCTTTCCCAAAACAAGTTTCTTGAGAGTAACAGTTGGTTTGAACCCACAAACCTTGTTGAAGTTTTCGCGTGCGCGGCCATCGCGACGTCGCGCAGACTTATTTAATGGCGGACTTATCTACCGGACTTTAGGGTTATTGAGCACCACTATCCATACTATACGATCCCGGGGTTTGTTTTGAGAAGGTGGTTCAATTGCTTTTCTGATTGCTGCACGCATCCTACTCCAATTCAGAATTGTCGTTGCTTAGCGAACGACGAGAAAGCGTCAGCAGGGTATGGAAGAAAAGCTGATGATAGGGACGATGCTGCATGACTGTAGATGATACCTATACGTTACGTGTTCGGGAGAGCGCTCGAAAAAGTGACCTTAAGTCTAAATTCAGGCGACTACGTAATGTTGGGCTTTCTTTACCACCCACTTGAGGGATGTACGTCCTAACATAAAAGTCAAAATATATTCCTACCTAATTAAAACAGCATTTGTTGTGGCTGTTCGTGGGCAATCATTATATTCAAAGAAGGAAGGCGACCGTCAGAAAGCTGTCTCGGAGGTGGGTGCGCTTTTTTTCGCACGTAGAGGCGGTTACGCTCTTGGTGGGATTTTTCGTGCTAGAAATCCATGATCATGTCTTGTCCAGTTGAAAACTGGATGAAGATTGTCCGAAATGGAATGATCCCCAGAAAGCGCATCCAAAGCTGTATTCAAATAAAGTATGCAAACAAGCCCTATCTATCCCTTTAAGTATACGGGGGCGGGCATGAAAAAGGCACTTCGGCCGAGTCACATATCAGCAAAGTTTTCGCAGCCCAGAGAGAAGATGTGGATACGAGTACCAGGGCGGAAGATACCCAAGATGTTCCTCGATAAGCAGGAGCTGGCTCTCGCCCATCACCTTCATG